GGGGGGGGGGGTGCTGGCTCTCTGCTTACCAAGCATGGTGTCTTTCCCCAGGGCTGATCCCTCCGGGTGAGATGTCCAACGGGCATGAGGGGAGAATGGCAATCCTGGCTTCTGAGAAGCATACTAGCTGGAGTCTTCCCAATGCACATTTGTTCTTCTGTTCCAGATTCTTCACCAACACCAGGATTCAAAGGCATCTGTTCTTTATCTTCCTTCATCATTTAACCACATCAATCAGCCCTGCTCTCCTGGCTGAACATGTTTCATTAACCATCGTTTCCGGGTACTTAGGCTTTTCCAATCTCTGTATTGTTTTTCCTCAGAGGGTTGGACATCCCAGACATGGAGGGAAATGCTTCTTCAAGGTCTAACAGTCCAGGAAAATGTTTTTTAAGTAACCAGAAGCAGAAGGCCTTTTTAAAGAAATCATCCTATTCATTCGTTTCATCAATACATCCATGATTTCACCACATAAGCAATTATTTCTCCTTATGATATGATATTGACTGGCTTGATCAAAGGTTGATAGTAATGAATTTTCTGAAACTCATGATATTGATGTCCCCGCTGAGCCAGAGACTCTCCCACATTACTTTAATATCTATGTAGTACCTATGTGGGCAAATGATTAATGCGCTTGATGGCGAGCCAACGTTGGAGGTTCAAGTCCTGGAAGTACCTTGGAAGAAAGCTGTGTGGGTTTTTTTGCTTTTAACCAACTTATTCTGAAGTCACATCGCAACACCCCCCCCCCCCCTTATCAGAAAGTTTGGCAGCAGCCTTTGGGTAGGTGTCCAAATACAGCCTATCTGACCAGAGCACATCACTCAACTCCAGGTACAGAGCAGGCCAATGCATTTCAGTAGCACACAGGGTCTAGTTAATATAGAAAGAACATGTTTCAAACATTGACAAGTGGGCCAGTGCATTCGGGCAGCTATAACCACGGCCCTTCACAAGACCTACCTGAGGCATGGAGGGGGGTTCTCTTGGTTACATTGTCTTTCACTAAGATGGATGCACCGTGCTTGATAAGAGCTTCCACGCATTCTGAGTGTCCCTTAAAGGCAGCCAAGTCCAGTGCAGTGCGGCCTTTCTCATCCCTGATGTCCAGGTCCACCAGCGACCGCAGAAGGACTTCCAGGGCTTGAGGGTGCCCATTGTAGGCCTGCAAAGAAGAAACCAACACTGCAGGTGTTCACTGACCTCCAATCCCGTACCAAGCCACCTGGGGGCTCAGACAGAGACCATGCCAAAGAGCCTATCAGAAAGAGGCTTTGCGGTCCCAGGGAATCATCTTGGTACCACAAGGCAAACCAGAGAGCTAGGCTGAAAGTAAGGACTCACACATCTCATGTGACACATGGATGTCGTCTTTGTGTTCTTTCCCTTATGCCAAATAATTAGCCCTAAGGGCACGACATGTATTCATGTACTCTCATATTAATAAATTCCCAACTCTATCAGTCCTGAACACCTTTCTTTCCAAGAACACTGTAGACTTGGGCATCCAACGGAGCCATATGAATTTCCGTTTCCTTCTAATATTTTACTGATTTCTAACCATGTGACTTTGGCCACATTTCTTAATGTCAGAGTTTGTTTCCTCGCCTGTAGGGTGAGAGCAATAAAAGCTGCCCCCCCACGCCCTCAGGGCTGCTATAGAGATGAAAAGAGATAAGAAAGCGCACTGGCCTTGCACAAGAGCTTACATATAGTTATGTTTCTTTCCCTCTACTTTATTCCTCCCATAGATTAGAATGAAACCCTGGAGATAACTGTGGAAATAAATGTTTTCCATGTGCCAGCACCAGCCTCAGGCCTATCACGAAGTCCTGTGCCAGGCCAAGGCCAAGAGGCTTCATCCCAGAACTTCCTGGCCCTGAGTCCATGCTAACTCATGACGACGACCCTGTTGGGCAGGGGAGAACTGCTTGCCTCTGTGGGTTTCCAGGACGGTAACTCTTTACGGCAGTGGTTCTCAACCTTCCTCGTGCCGTGACCCTTTAATACGGTTCCTCATGTTTTGGTGACTCCCCCCAACCATAAAAGTATTTTTGTTGCCACTTCATAACTGTCATTTTGCTACTGTTATGAATTGGGCGACCCCTGTTAAAGGGTCATTCGACCTCCAAAGGGGTCGCGACCCACAGGTTGAGAAACGCTACTTTACAGGAGGAGAAAGCCTCATATTTCACCCATAGAAAAGCTAGTGGTTTTGAACTGTCGACCTGGTGGCTAGCAGCCCAATGCATAACCACTATGCCACCAGGGTGCTAGAAGGGGGGGGAAGGAAATAAGAAACAAGAGGAGTTCTGTCCCAATATCTTCAGCACCAAGTCCCTTCTTCTGTTACCTGTACTCTTATGCTTTTCTACCTGCAGCTTTGACTCAAGACTCACTTGGGAAAAAAGCAAAGAGTTCTTGGACCGGATGTGTCTGCTAAGAGGAAGGGATACCAGCAGGTATCCTGGCAGGAAAATGGCTCTGTTCTAATTCACGCAAAGGTGCATTAGTCCTCAATGCCACTGCCAAGCCATCATCATCCCTAGTCTTTTAAAAATATATATTCTGAAGCTGTCCACTTCTCACTAGCTCTACTTCCCTTACAGCCATCATCTTTTCTTCTTTTTTACAAGATGAGAATAAAAGCTTCCTATTATCGAACAGCTGCCAGAGGAAATCTTTTAAAACCCACATTGGATCATGTCGTGGATTGCTTAGCACTGGCCTCTGGCTGCTGCCCTCATGGAGAATAATATCCACACTTCCTTTCTGGGATCACCAGTCGGGATCCCAAGTCAGGATCCGGCCCCTCACTACCTTCACCTGCAGCTCCAGCATGTCCTTTCTGGGCCATGGCACCTTACTTTCTATTTTCTCTGAGTGTCAGACCTCCCTCCTAAACTCAAGAGCATGTGGCTCTCCTGAGACTTTGGTTCCAGTACTTCTCAGAGCGGCCTGAATATAAATCCAACCTCTACTTCACACTCAACCCAGCTTTGTTTTCGGATTTCCTCCCTGAACCGTGCGTTGTCTTCATAGCACTTATTAGGCCCTCAAATCTGCTACATCTTTGTCCATCTATTTATTTACTGCCTGGGATGTTGGGCCTTCGTGTGGGTTGTTTGCTGCTGTAGCCTACAATTATCCTGGGCCTCTGAGACTCAACAAGGGGCCCTGGTGCTGTAGTGATTACGTGTTGGGCTGTTAACCATAATGTCAGCAGTTCGAAACCACCAGCTGCTCCTCAGGAGAAAGGAGGTGCAATTTAATTCTGTAAGGAGACACCATCTTGGAAAGTCACAAGGACAGCCCGGTCCTGTCCCACTGGTCACTACGAGTCAGCACCGACTGACTAGATGGCAGTGAGTTTGAGTTTATTTTTCATGATGCGCAACAATGGTCTGGTAAGTGAATGAATGAAACATAGTGATTGTTGTTATTAGGAGCCCTGGTGGCATACTGGGCTATTTCTTGGGCTGCTAACTACAAGGCCAGTAGTTCAAAACTATCAGGTACTCTGTGGGAGAAAAAATGAGACTTTCTACTCCTATAAAGAGTGACCCTCTCAGAAGCCCACAGGGGTGGTTCTACTCTGCCCTGTAGGGCAGCTATGAGTTGGGACAGACTCGCTAGCAGTGAGTTATCATCATTTCATAGAACTGGGCAGGATTGACTCGCTGGCAGGGAGGTGTTGAGTGGAGGCTGCCATCTGCAGGGCTGGTGGGTCAAGCCCCCCCTGCTGTCTACTTCCAGAAAGACATGCAGGCTTGACAAGCTGATGGAGGATGCCAGGAGCTGGACTCGACTCGATGGCAGTATGGTGTTGAGTAGTGCAATTACAATTTTTACACAGCAACTGTTTATTGAGGGTTTTTGGTGGGCAGGGCACTCTAGCATCTCACTGAATCTCGGCAGACATCCTCACTCACAGATGAAGGAACTGCAAGTAGCAATGTTGAGGAACTGGGCCAGGATCACGTCACTAGTGGCTGGCAAAATCAGGATTTGGAACCCAGAACCTGTGGACACACAAGCCTTTGTCCTGCGGACATTCTCTGGAATTAGCTTGCAAAGAAGATGCTCTTTAGTCTCTACCTGTGATGGCGCAGGAGGAACCCTCATGGTGTACTGATTGGCCGTTGGGCTGTCAACGGCAAAGTCAACAGTTCGAAACCACCAGCTGCTCCAAGGGAGAAAGATGGGCTTTTGACTCCTGGAAAGAGTTGCAGTCTCGGAACCCCCAGGGGCAGTTCTCCCCTGGCCTACGGGGTGCTGTGAGTCGGCACTGACTTGATGGCAGTGTTAGTTGTTTTGAGCTTGGTAACGATGCAGAGATTTGCATAATAAATATTCAATCTGAAACCTAGGTCCCTTGTATGGAAGGCCTTTGTTGTGGGTTCCAGGCGCCGGCAAGTGCATTCTGACTTGGTGCATTCTGAGCTCAAGGGACAGAGCGGGAAGCAGGTCTTTCACCTGCGGACGGACAGACTGTTGGGAAACAATCCAACCATCAACTGTTGGGAAAGCGCTGAACCTTTGTGCCACCAGGGCTCCTCTGGAAGGCTTCCCGTGGAGCTTTGGGCACAGGCAGCCCTGCTCCGTCCTCTAGGGGTGCCTGCGAGTGGGGCTCTGCACCCCTCGAGCGAGGAGAGGTGCCTGCCCTTGTGCTGCCCCCGCTGCCTGGCCTTTCTGGGGATAGGGATCAGTTTCGCACGCAGGCCTGACTTTCTGATCTAGCTGCAAAGTTTAACTGCACAGGCTGGGAAGCCTTCATTGTTTATTAAACTAGTGGTGCTGGATGGGAAGACTGACCGGCCAGATCCTAGAGCCTAAGCTGTGGCTTCTTCCATGAGCTTCTCTGAAAGGGAAAGGCAACGTATACTCCTAAGGTCTATTTTTCAAATTTCTCATGACTTGAAAATTCAAACATAGAGAAAGAAAACCTTTATCGTGTAGTGCTTCCCCCGCAGCCCTGCCCCAGCTGCAGCCCTTGCACATTCATCTGTGAAGGGCTGTGGTAACGGGAGCATCACAGTGGGGCGTGACTCCCTCCACGGCACTTCCCTTCTGGGCTCCAGTCTGGACGTCACATCCCACGTCCCACCTTTGGTATTGTCGCGGCTCTCAGAAGCCGGCCTGTGTGGAAACCTTGTCCTCGTGCCAAAAGGAAACGAGCCCATGTCTACCACGGCAGGCTTCTAGGTGCCGCCTGTGAATGCTGGCCCTTCAACGCCCATCCTGCAGCGGTAACGCTAGGAACAGTTTCATTTCTGTCACTTTGACCTCAGGAAACGGGAGCCAGCAGCTCACAAACTCGCATTTCTGGGTATGTCTGTGAGTGCACACACACCACACAGCGGACGGCGTAGTTAGGGTTAATACAGGGAGGAGGCACTGGGGGAAAGGAGACAGGCATAAGGGAAGGGAGCCACTGGGCCGGAGAGCAGTGTCACATCACGGGGCACTTATGTAAGTCAGGTGCGACCCAAGGACTTAGAAGAGCTGAGTGCTTTCTCTGTCAGTCTGCAGCATCAAAAAGAAACCCATTCGCTTCTCATAAGGAGGATTCATGGTAGAACAAAGTGGAGTCAGCCCTGCTGGTACCCAGGAAAACCTTAGCATTCTAACGCATGCATCTTCTACCAAAAGCAAAACTTCCTGCTCTGGAGGACAGAACAGAAATGCTCCCTGGGGCTTCCGAGACCGGACAGCTTCACCGGGGCAGGCAGCCTTCACTTCCTCCGTGGAGTGGCTGCGAGGTTTGAGTCAGTGATCTTGAGGTTAGCAGGCCGACACAGAACCCACTCCATCGCCAGGAAGCCTGTCTTCCATACCAGGCACGTCAACATCCTCAGAAAGGCAGATGGTTGAATGGTCAGAATCACCTATAGAATCACCCTAGTTAAATATCGCTAGCCTACCTCAGGGCCCTCAAAATTTAGTACACAGAAGCATTGTAGGGGACTGAGAACAATGAGGCTCAATGCCATTGAGCCAGCCCCAACTCACGGTGACCTTATGAAACAGGTGGAACTGCCCCTGTGGGTTTCTGAGACAGTAACTCCTGAAGGAAATAGAAAGCCTCATCTTTCACCCACGAAACAGCTGGTGGTTTTGGACTGCTGACCTTGGATATTACAGTGCAATGCATGACCACGATGTCACCAGAGCTTCTTATAAGACTATAAGGGTTAAGCTTTAAAGGTAAGTTAAAGGGAATTATAAAGGTAATATTAATTATATTACCTCCACACTTCAGGCGTAACCCTGAATAAGCTACTATATGCAGAATGTCATTTTATGGTCAAATGCAGGATGCTCTCTTTAGGAAGTTCTATGGTTCCTGAAGTGTCCACAATAAGGAACCCAAACTGTCTGAAAGACAGGTAGACCGAAAGACAAGGAGATTCTTCGCATGTCAGCAGTGCCTACTGAAACCTGTCCTACTCATTTTTGCAGTAGCATTTAAGTCAGGTATTTGGTAGGAATTCCACCAATAGTTTCTGAAACAATTAAAGGAAGAAGAAATTACACAGAAGAACCAACAGACTGGTCCAAAGAGCATGTAGTATTTGGGCAGTCAATAGACAACCCAGCCCAAGCCTTCACTGGGACAACTGATCTATTGAACAATGAAGCACTGGTTTAAGGAATGAATGCCCTGTTAATGAAAAAATAGAAGTCACTTAACTACTCCTGAAACAGGGCTATTGTCTTTGCACTGCTTTAGGTAGGAACTGAGGCCAAAGAGGAGAAGGAATTAAGACTTCAAGAGAAGCCGTGGAACAACGCATTGGTCTAAGATATTCTGGCAGCTGGAGCCTTGCATTTGCATACCTTTGTTTCTTAATTAGATTTTTTCAAGTAGATGAAATGTTTATGAAATTCATTGGGCCGATAGCTCTGGAGACTTGAATCATTCAGCTCTCTACATGCCCTTTGTTTATTTGGCGGCTGTCCATCTTCCTTTTGGGGATCTATCTCTACAAGGGTAGAGGGCGAGCTGTGCTCACTGTAACATCTCCAGCCACTGGGTCACAATCAGTAAAGATGAGGATGATGCTAGCTGCGTGGTTCATATGTATCAGCCCCTGACATCCTCAGAGTGGCTCTATGACATAGGAACTGCTATCTCCCCAGAGGATACATGGGGAAAGCCGGATGCAAGAATTTACGTCGGATTCTGGCCACATTAAACACAATGAACAACTGAACAAACTTGAAAGGGGAATTTTAGCTCACTTGCTTCCCTTAATTTCAAGGTGGGAAACCATGCCCAAGTGAGTTGCTAATGAGCAGCATGGTATCTGGGACCTCCTCCCTGGGACCTTCCTCTACTCCTGGCCGGCTGCAGAACTACCAAAGCCCAACTGTTAGCGATGGTGTCCTCCGACTCCTGCTTATGTGCTTGGGAAGCCGCAGAGTGCATGGCACACAGTAAGCTCTCAGCAGGTCATGATTTTGTTTTTTGAAGAGAGAGAGGATCGAATTTTTGGATGTCAACAAAGCCTCTTTTCAGATTAATGGCAAGCTTGGCAGGGTAATCCACTCAATTTCCAAAGGGCATGAGGGTTCTTACATAGCCCTCTGATGAGGCGCCTCCAGAGGCGGCTAGTACCATGCTTGTGACTCCTCCACTTTGGGGACAGTTCCCCAAACACAGCAGATGGTTGAGTAGGAATTCTAGAAAGCAGCCTTTGGAGTACCCATACCAAGAGCTGACTAATGCATCCAGTTATCACACTTCATTTCAAGTTTTATAGACTTACCCCATGATGCATCCCCTTTTCCCTTCTAAGTATAGCATCTAATTTTATCTCCAGAAGGAAAACTTGCTGTACATTTCAGCCTAGTGTCACTGGACTCAAAATGTGTGTCTTAGTGGATGTGTCTTATGGGTATGTTTATAGTTACATCACAAGGTGTGGGCATAAGGTATCAACAGGTTGTTGGTGACTCTATGGTGAGACCAACCAAATCAAACACAACCCACTGCCAAAGAGTTGATTTCAACTAATAAGAAGCCTATAGGACAAAGTAGAGTGTTCCTGTGGGTTTCAAAGACCATTAATCCGGACGGGAGAGACAGTTTCAGCTTTCTCCCATATAGTGAGATAGGAAACGAAGGGAGAGCGACTGGCTCTGGATACCTCCAATCCTCGTGGCATTAGCATGCTCCTCTCACCTGCCCTGAGCTCCCATGTACGCATAATAATAAAACACATCTCTTGGCTCCAACATTTTCCATCCTAATTTTGTATCAGAAACATGCAGAAGAAGTGCCTGTTTAGGCAGTGTATTAGGTGACACACCACGGCACCCAGTTAATCGTAGAGACCCAGCCCCTCCCCACTCTTCCCACGGTCCTGCCTCTGGGTTTATTAAGCAAAGAAGCACCTGGTGGTTCTGGAGTTAGGGCTCACGGCTCAGGGGAACCTTGGGCTGGTGCGCCCTTTGCTGCTGAGTGTGGCCGCCAGTCAGCAAGCCACTGAAGAAATACTTGCTGATCACCAACTATTGGTGGCGGGGGGGGGGGAGTGCACTTTCTGGCTCAGTTACCTCTTGAAGAGTTTAGGGATCATCACTTTGATCAGTTGCATTTTTCTCCAATTAGTGAAATGTGGAGAAGCATCTTTATGGGTGATAACACCCATCTTTTCTCCTCCCTCCCAGATCCCTTGCCCCCCCCCCCCCAAAGCAGGACAAGAATCTGATCCTGGGGTCTCCTTGGGACTGCGATTCCAAGTCCAGGCAGAAAGAACACAGCCAAAATTGTGCATGTCGATGTTTAACCGTCTTAGCAGGCTTTCAGAGATGGCATCCAACTATTGGTAGGTTTCACCACCCCAACTGGCTTGTGCATTTTTTAATCTATAATCAATTTTCTTAAACTCAAGCATCGTCTTTGATTTCCTCAGCTTATTGACTTAAATACTAGTGAATGATATTTTTTGTTAGCTTTTGAAACAATATTAAGCACAAAGTGCTTATGACCTCTTTTCATCAGACCTTATTTTGCAGATGAGAAAACTGAGCTCAGAGAGGGTTAGTCATGTCCCTGAAGTCAGCAGCAGGTAGAGCCACGACTGGAACACAAGGCAGTCTTTCTCTCTCCACCTGGAGCGCTAATCATGCCCTGCGTTCATTATGACTGGGTTCTGTGACACCAGGCTAGTATTTGAAGCTGGGTGTAAGAAATGTTGAGGGGGGTTGCTGCTGTTGTTTTCTTGTGACAGGTGATGCTGCCCACAGCGTCGGACTTACAGCTAAGTGAAGTGGACTCTTGATAGCACCAGAATCTGATTCTTCAAAACCACCGTTGGTTCTTTCCAAAAGCTGTGGAGACAAAAAGGCAGAGGTCTGTCAGCAGAGAGCAAAGGCAGGCTTCCTTTCCAGGTACTCATCCTGGTATGAATGAGAAAGGAAGCTTCAGGAACTTGTACAATGACACAGCTTACCAGTAACATAAAAAGTGTGACGAAGTGTTTCTAAGACAAATAGGCCAACTGAAATGTAAGGCCCCAGACCACCTCAACATCTGCTACTCAAATAAAAGCCTTCACACTTGAGAAGAGGCTCGGTCTCACTACGCCAGAACAAAACACCCCCAAACATATTGAATCCATTTTTCACCGAAGAAGATTGGTAATTATGAACACTGCAGCACCAGCAGCTGTTATCTTTATTTCTTAATTTAATTTTAACTTTGTATGGTGAGTTGGATGACGGGTTACAGGGCAGATGCGCTTTCCCATCAGCAATTCACACACATTTTGCCTCTTCTCAGTGACTGCAATCCCCACGATGGCTCCGCACATACCCCGCTGCCTCCTTGTGTTTTCTTATCGCTTTAAAGTCACAGCTAAGTGCTATCATGGGATGCCCAAATGGTTCACAGAGACAAAGAGGAGAAGGGGTCTGAGGATGGAGTCCTGTGGCAATCCCACAGGAAGAGGTGGAGCAAACAGAACAGAAGGGACAGCAAGTGAACTCGAGGGAAAATCACGAGAGTGTGGATTCTGGAAACCACACAGAGAAAGAATCCATTTGCTCTGCACTCGTGGCAACCTGACACGACATGTCTTCACAGGAGCAAATAGCTTCCTCTTTCTCCCGAGGAGGAGCGGCTGGGAAATCTGAACCCCCAACCTTGTGGTTAGCAATCCAACCTGACTCTGCCATCAGAGTTCCCATGAAAGGGTGACTATCCGCATCAAATGTGCTCATGAAAAAAAATGAAACACAACAAATTAGTGCCATTCTGATTCATACCAGCCCCACCAGAGAGCCTAGAACTGCCCCGTCTGGGTTCCTAGACTGGTTGGGGAGCAGGCTGCCACATCTTCCTCCCAGGGTCTGGGTGGTAGGTCCAAACCACTGACTTTTCAGCTAGCAGCCAAGTGCTCAGCTCCTGCGCTCCCAGAGCTTGATCAGGTAAAATGAGGTCTGAGAAATAAGGGTTTACCAACATGGAGGTTAGCAGTGATGCTGATAAGACCAGCTTATCAAAATATTGTTTATATGAAGAAAAGCGGCGGGGTGGGGTGGGAATAAACCAAGCAACCCTAGCAATAAAAATCCAAACCAAACGTACTACTACCAAGTGCATTCTGGTTCAGAGCCACCCCTTATAGACTGTACACATTTATGGGAGCAGGCAGCCTCATCTCGCCATCCCCGCCCCCTCCCTGCCCCACAGAGGCTGGTGGGTTTGAATTGATGGCCTTGAGGTTAGCAGTCCAATGTTTACCCAACAGCATCAGCAGATAGGTTCAGTAAATTATAGTGCTATATATTATCTCTTCCAGATAAATGATCCCTCTTTATCTTGCCTTAAAATTCTTCTTTGTCATTGGGCCTCCACTCAAGTACTCCCTCAACACAAGAATACTTTCTTCTATTAAATTGGCATTCTATGATGCTCACCTTCCCTACGCAACCGCTGAAGATAAAGCGGGTGAATAAGCAAATGTGGTGAAGAAAGCAGATGGTGCCCGGCTATCAAAAGATATAGCGTCTGGGGTCTTAAAAGCTTGAAGGTAAACAAGCGGCCATCAAGCTCAGAAGCAACAAAGCCCACACGGAACAACATATCAACCTGTGTGATCACAAGGTGTCGAACGGATCACTGAAGACAAATGGGTGCATAAGCAAATGTGGCGAAGAAAGCTGATGGTGCCCGGCTATCAAAAAATATAGCGTCTGGGGTCTTAAAAGCTTGAAGGTAAACAAGCGGCCATCAAGCTCAGAAGCAACAAAGCCCACACGGAAGAAGCACACCAGCCTATGCAACCACGAGGTGTCGAAGGGATCAGGTATAAGGCATCATCAGAACAAAAAATCTTACCATCGTGAATGATGGAGGGAGTGCAGAGTGGAGCTCCAAAGCCCATTAGTAAGCCACAGGAGATCCCCTTGCAGAGGGGTCTCGGGGAGGAGATGAGCCAGTCAGGGTGCGATGTAACAACGATGAGAAATACAACTTTCCTCTAGTTCTTAAATGTTTCCTCCCCACTCCCACTACCATGACTCGAATTCGACCTTGCAAGTCGGGCTAGACCAGAGGATGTACACTGGTACAGATAGGAACTGAAAATACAGGGAATCCAGGGCAGATGAGCCCTACAGGACCAGTGATGTGAGTGGCGAAACAGGAAGGGTAAAGGGAGAATGGGTAGGAAAGAGGGAACTGATTACAAGGAACTGTGTGTGACCTCCTCCCTGGGGGACAGACAACCGAAAAGTGGGTGAAGGGAGACATCGGACAGGGCAAGATATGACAAAATACCAATTTATAAACTATCAAGGGCTCATGAGGGAGGGGGGAGCGGAGAGGGAAGGGAAAAATGAGGACCTAATGTCGGGGGTTTAAGTGGAGAGAAAATGTTTTGAGAATGATGTACAAATGCGCTTTACACAATTGATGTGTGTATGGATTGTGGTAACAGTTGTATGAGCCCCTAATAAAATGTTTTAAAAAAAAACACTTCTTTGTATAGTGATACATCCAAAAGAAATACAAGTCCAGTTAAGAAAGTCTTGATGTTGGTGAATATGGTGAGAATTGACATCCTTTTCAGCCTTCTGACCTGTGGGTCTTGGTGGCTTTCTATGGCATGGTTAGCTAGCTCCACTCATTCGGGAGATGCTCTGCGGCTAAGGTTCCAGCTGTGAATTAAGTTCTGCCAGTTAGATGTGCTCCCGTGGAATATGGAAGACAGAATGGGGACTGCGGATGGCAAGCACAGTTGTGGAGACTTTTTAATGTTTGTCTTTCAGCTTCACTTGCTCAGTAAAAGCAGAGACAAGATATAGGGGCCCAGCGTGGGGTGGAGGGAGCAGATGCTGGTGGCTTTGGGCAGAGGCAACTCTGATCAAATATCACCTACGGAGGTGGGCTTCTGGGGCCAGCCTTTCCAAGGCTGCTGTCTAACGCCCTGCCTCGCCGATTGTGGGAAGGAGGCCAAGGAGGCCGCTCCCCTGGCAGTTCAGTCCACAAAGCAGGGCCATTTCTGGAAGATTCGTCTGGCTTCCACTCTTCTAGACCTTGACAATCCTGTACACACCTATTTTTTTTAAAAGCACAACAACCTAAAAGTAACTTTATAGGATTTTTCTTTTCTTCTTCATCTCTCCTGATTTTCTTACAGTGAATATGTATATATACACAGATATATACATATGGTTTTGTAATCAGAGAAACACTAAAATTATTTCTCTTTTAGAAAAAGGTTAAGAAGCATCCTTTTTATTCGACAGAACGGGTCGCACAACAGAGTTCTGAGACCCCAGTCTCCACCCCACCATAGATTCACTTCGTTTCTAGGCAGTACATGTGGAACAAAATCCTCTTATATTAGGATTCCTCAGTAAATCCAACCACAGTGTAAAATGTCCTGCTTAAAAGCATGCAGTCTAAACTTCATAAATAATACAACACAAAGAATGACACTGGAAGTATGAGCGATTCATATGCTGGTTTCTTATTAGTGTGAGAATAGAACTTGAAGTGTAAACAACCTAAGATATGATAGAATGAGAATAAATTTAACTTCAACTTCAAAGCAAATAGCTTTGAAACTGATCTCTCGTATACAGTTGAAATCAAAGTAGTCTAAATTGCTTGATAAAGGCTAGAACACAGCTGTCTTGGCTTTGTTGTCCAGCATTATCATCTGCAAAGCTTCCTGGAATTGACTATGTGTACCAAGTCCAAATCCTGTCCTAGAGTGAACTTCTGATCAAAGGGACACAGCATTGTTTCCACCAGTGTGACAAACGGGATGAACAAGGACAAGAAGACAGACCATGGATGAAGCATATGGGTGAAGATTTGTTATGGAATAAAATCCCCCCCCCTCTTCCCCAACCACTATATACATCTGCTGATCATTCTAAAGCATGTGATACTTTATTTCAATCATAAACCAAATATTTCTGGAGTGTCATCTATGTTCAGGACACTGGATTAGGGTTTGATCTACTTCCAAAAGGCCACAGCATTGTGAACCTGTGTTGACCAAGATTCATGCTGCAACATGGGGCTGCTGTGAGTCGGCACTGACTTAGTAGTAACTGGTCTCATAAGCGTACAGTCACTGATGGAGTACAGTTCTGCTCTGACATACATGAAATTGCCACGAGTCAGAACCAGCTCGCTGGTAAAGGGTTAGTGGTCAGGAGTGAGCAGGGCTGAGCAACAATAATGCTGGAAATGTGACGGAAGATAAATTAGGTATAGGGTGGTCATATAGTTACTGTCCAAACCAGGGCATTTTTGAGAGGGAAAAGGGGAACAATTGATAATTTCACTGGGACAAAAGTTGCAAACCAGCACATCAAATTAGGATGATTAATTATTATACCTATCCAGAGTCTTCAGAATACCTTTTTAGGCAAGTCTGAGAGCTCTGATCATGGTCAGATTGCCATGTTTCATCGGAGTCGTGATGACTGCCGTGTAGGAATGGACTGCATGGTGCTGGGCATTGGGGATTGGAACCCCAGAAGCAGGGAGAGCATTTCAACTATGGGTTTCAAAGTTGTGAACTATGAAGTCTATGAGAACTAATGGTGGCTGAACCACGGTGGGAATGGAAGAAGTGGGTGTAGCACAGAGATTCATTCACTTCTTCATTCAGCTATTCCCCAGTGTGGATGAGATGGTCCCTGCAGAATGTGCAGGGAAGGGGAAAGTCCTAGGACACAATGTCGGGACCTCAATGCTTAAGAATGGGAAGGAACTGACAGCCTGCAGAGAAGGCTGGGAGTGAGCAGAGAGAAACACAGTTGAAGACCCAGGGACGTGAGACGACGGTGATGGCAATGGTGATGGT